CTCCTCCTCCTCCTCCTCCTCCTCCTCCTCCTCCTCCGCTGCTGTTGCTGCCCAGGAGTGAATATGGTAATAATTTTAATAACTAATTGTGAAAAGACCCTACAATATATATATATTTGACATACAATTAGTGAATGAGGACTTTTGCAAACTGGTACTGACACCCATTTGGACAGCTGTCTTCTTCAGAAGGAAGAGTCTTTGTCATTCCCTTTTTACACCTTGTAGTTCATATGACACACACACCCCCTTGTAGACCTCTTCCCATGGAGAGAAGAAGGACTGGGCAAAGTGTCTCATTAAATTTGATTATACTAAGTCAGATTCCTCATTCTCTTTGAGGAATGTTTCTCACATTGAACAGCAGCACATCTAGATTTGCCACACAGGATGCACTTTGACAGGAAGTCTTAGCTCTCTGTGTGGTAGGGATCCCAATTTCTCTATTTACACATTGTGTTTTGTAGGTGTACACTTAAAATATCACAAGTATACATGTAAAAAAATACCATGTGAAGTGGTCCCTGGATGCTAGTGTTACCAGGTTAGCTGTTACCAAGGTATGCACCACAGTGGCAAGACCTTTCCTGCGCAGGAGAGGCTGAAGCTGATGAAAGTTGCCCTGGCCACCACTGCCTCCTGTCAAGCAGCAACCCTGCTTATGAACCTGCTCCCTTAGGGGGAGTGCAACCCCATCCAGACCAGGAGACCAGTTCTTGGGTCAAACACTCCTTCCCAGCAGCAGTAACGCCTCCATTTTGTCAGGATTAAGTTTCAGCTGCCCTGACCTAGATAGCCCAGGGTTGGCCCTATCTGGTATTCGTATGGGAAACCTCCAAGGAATACAAGGGTTGTGACTGGAGGCAGGTAATGGCCAACCACCTCTGAATGTCTCTTGCTTTTAAAACCCTATGGGGTTGCTATAAGTCATCTGTGACTTGACAGCACTTTCCACCTCCAAGTTTCAGCTTGTTAGCCCTCATCCACCCCAAACTGCCTCCATGCACTTGTTTACCATTTCTACAGCCTTCCTGAAATCTGCTGGAAGTGTGAACAAGAACTGAGTGTCATCTGCATCTTGGTGGTAACTCAGCCCAAATCACCAGATGACCTCTCTCAGCAGCTTAACATAAATATTACAAAGCATGGAGGAAAAGATGGAACCTTGTCGGATTACAGAGGCCAAGGTGCCAAAGCAGCAGCCCTCAGCACCACCTTCTGAAACTTATATTTCAGGTAGAGCTGAAAACACTGCAAAATGGTGCCTTCCAGTCCCAACCCTAAAAGATGCTCCAGAAGGCTACCATGATTGATGGCACCAAAACCCACCAAGACGTTCAGGAGAATCAACAGGGTCTCACTCCCCCTGTCCATCTCCCAGCTCAGGTCACTCAGCAAGGTCACTAAGGCCATTTCAGTCCCAAAACCAGGCCTGAGACCAGACTGGAAAAGATTCAAACAATCTGCTTCATTCAGGAATTCTGAAGTTGCCCAATAACCACATTAACTTGTTTGCAAGTGAAAAGAACTGGGGACCTTTCCCCAAGCTGTTTAAAAGGTATATTAAGGCCCCATTCACATGGCAAATTTGCCATGTGAAAAATTGTTAAAAATTGTTAAACTAGGTCTTTACTTTTATCTCATCCAGGAGCAAAGTGTAAGACAGGCCCACTGGACATTGTCTTTGTGATTGACAGCTCACGCAGTGTACGTCCCTTTGAATTTGAAACGATGCGGCGCTTCCTGATTGACATCATCAACAACCTAGAGATTGGGATCAATGCCACAAGGGTTGGAGTGATCCAGTATTCTAGCCAGGTCCAAAATGTCTTCTCCCTCAAGACCTTCTTCAACCGGGCTGACATGGAGAAAGCCATCAACAGCATTGTCCCGTTGGCCCAAGGCACTATGACAGGGTTGGCCATCCAGTATGCCATGAATGTGGCTTTTACCACGCAGGAGGGAGCACGACCACTGCACAAGAAGATCCCTCGAGTGGCTGTGATTGTAACAGATGGGCGGCCCCAAGACCGTGTGACAGATGTGGCTGCTCAGGCCCGAGCGGCTGGCATTGAAATCTATGCTGTGGGTGTGCAGCGGGCAGACATGAACTCTTTGCGGGCCATGGCCTCTCCTCCACTGGAGGAGCATGTCTTCTTGGTGGAGTCTTTTGACCTCATCCAACAATTTGGCAAGCAGTTCCAGGATAAGCTGTGTGGTGAGTGTTGGAGCAAAGCCTTGCCTCCTGTTGCCTATTCAGAAATTTAAGTTGTTTAAGTGTACTTGATTCTCATGCTGACCATGATTTGCCATGTTGTGGGAAGTCCAAGACATTGCCCACCTGATGAGGAGTATCATTTGGATGACATCAAATACTTCAGTGCTGTGATGACATTGCAAAATTTTTGAATGACAGCATTAAAAAGGTCTCTCAGCTGTGGTGTGAAGCCACCGTTCTCCTGGCTTTGCAGTTCAGTTGACAAGCAGTTCAGTTGACAATGGAACACTGCTTCAGTGGCTTAGATTCACTGGTGATTACTGCAGACAGAAGAGAGTTCTGTCCATAGAACATGTAACTTTCTCACCTCCCCATCCCACCAAAGCCTGAAATGCTACTCCTAGGGGGCAGGAAGCCCTGGGGAACAACGTAAGCTGGGAGGGGGGATGTCAGAAGTCTGCTGTGGGAGGAAGGAATGGATGAAAATCCCCCCCCTTCCATTTATGAAAATCATTTGTAGGATCCAACCCAATGTATGGCTATTTATTTGATTATTTTTTCTAAACCTCTGGCAGTGCCTGCCTTTTAAAATCTTTGTGTCATTTCTATGTATTTGTTTGTAGCTTTATTAAATATTTAAATAGGATTTTTAAACATGGTAAAATCTGCTCCGGGGATTGGAAGTAAGATTTCTTGGTCACTGTATGGGTACTATTCAATCAGCACTGGACATAGCCAGCTTCTGCTGTTAACCCATAGAAGTATTTTCCCCCCAGAGCTCAACAGTGGAGAAGAAGTAGTACGGAACAAAAAAGAGCCACTTCCAAATTGCTCTCACTGTTCTAAAAATGTTACATTTTTATTTACTCTGGTAATCTGTTCTCATGTGTATCATGAGATAACAGTTGCCAACTTGCATCTTGCAGGTGTTGATATGTGCACAGAACTGGACCATGGCTGCCAGCATACTTGTGTCAGTATCCCTAGCTCTTTTTATTGTCAGTGCAACTCAGGATACAAGCTCAATGCTGATGGAAAGACATGCTCCAGTAAGTATGGAGAGAAGAAGGGGCTGAAGGAGCTTCCGTTCTCTGCACTCGTCGGAGGAGGCATGCGGAGACCACCCCTCCCGCATCGCTCGGTGGGATCTGCACTGCTGAAATCAAGTATTGACACTGTTGTTTGCTACATTCCCACCTCTTTATGCGGCTTTGACAGGTTACGGTTAAAGGTTCGGTCTCGCGTCTCTTGCTGCTGGTGCCCAAAGTCAAGAAGGCGCCCCCTTTGCCGGCAGAGCTTGCGCTTTCCCGCCACGGGCAAACGGAGACCGATTCAGAAACCAGTTCGTTGACTGACTAAGGCCCTCCGCAATTAATTAACTATGTTTCTTTCAGTGGAGTGTGGCCTCGGGGGATTTCTTTTTTAATAGCAGAACAAACACACGGATAACAGACCCGGTAAAAATCAAAGCGGAGTACGTTACAGGGCCACGCATCCACGGCCATGCTATTGCTAAATAAATCATAGTTAGCGAAAGGCTGAACGAAGTCCGTGGAGGTAAGGCTTTTTCCTCCCCACGTGATTAACTGTAGGTAGACCGTGCCCTACAGACTCGCTTCATTTGCGGGACCTCCTGCCTGGTTTCCTACACAGGACCAAACGGAAATGGCTCGCAAATTTTGTTAGCATTTAATAGCAGCGCTTAACATTGCCTCCTATGGGGAAAAGGTCGGCCTCTTTGGTCCCCTCTGTTCTTTCTTCTCCCACACCTGTCTTGGGCAGGACATTCCTCGCCAAGTTTTAATACCGGCCTTTTGCAAGAGTAGAGTGACCTGGTGCATATACAAAGGGGAGGAAGTTATGGCCACGGAGCCATTGACACCTTTAAAAGGGGATTAGACAGATTAATGGGGGAGGAGTCTATTAGTGGCTACCAGCAAATGGGTCAATAAAGGGAACATCCAAGTTCAGAGGCAGTAAACCTCTGAATCCCAGTACCAGGATGCAACATCGGGGAAGGCCTCGGCCTCCATGCCCGGTTGTTGGCCCTCCAGAGGACCACAAATACCTAGGGGAACAGCAATACAAAACTGTACTATAAACCCAAAGATTGCTGCAAGTGTGTACAAACAATAAATGAATTTACACAAAAGTAAGTCAATCTTCACTGAAGATGATATTCATGATGTGTCTTTTATAGTCGATGAACAGGTGGACAGAAGACAGACGAACTTCTCGAGAGACTTATTAGTCCATTGGAGAGTTTTGTATGTAGCTGCATAGCTCATGGAAAAAACAGTTTGATTTAAAGACTTCATCGTCATCTTCATGAAGTCTTTAAATCAAACTGTTTTTTCCATGAGCTATGCAGCTACATACAAAACTCTCCAATGGACTAATAAGTCTCTCGAGAAGTTCGTCTGTCTTCTGTCCACCTGTTCATCGACTATAAAAGACACATCATGAATATCATCTTCAGTGAAGATTGACTTACTTTTGTGTAAATTCATTTATTGTTTGTGCACACTTGCAGCAATCTTTGGGTTTATAGTACAGTTTTGTATTGCTGTTCCCCTAGGTATTTGTGGTCGCATTTCAACGGGGGACACCTGGCAGATGTTCTCGTGTGATTGGGCCCTTAAAATCCACCCGGCATTTGCGCCTATGGTGCTGCTAATTCTGTGTGTGATAGCACCCAATGCCTAACTTTTTTCTGTCATTTATTTAGCTTAGCTAAACAGAGATAACGAGAAAACGTTTAGGGCTACATAAGTTTGCTGTTTATAGAAGCAGATCACTCTTGCTTTACTCCACTGGGATGAAATAACTGGATATTCCTTCATAAACTCTTTGAGGAGAACTTGTTGACACTGGCCTGTATCTACCACTCCACCCAGCAAGGTCTGAAGTCCTTCCTCCAGTATTCACCAATCAAAAAGCAACCGAAGTTGGAGGAAAGCTCCTTAGGCTGGAGGAAAGCTCCAGACTTTGCTGACTGGAACAGTAGGATACAAGCCAATAGATTCATGTACATCTAACATACTAATTGAACCTACCTTGAATTCTTAGCATGAACTGTTCAGAGAATGTTAAATTACAGAACAGCAAAAAGGGTAGGTTTCATATTCGTGCAAAGCATTAAAGATATAATTAGGGTAGCCAGGCACTGGAGGGTTGTAGGCTGAGCCATGGAGGGCCCACAATGTCGCATATGGCGCAACATCGTTTCTTGTTAAAAATATCAGAAGTGACAAAGGGTAGCTTTAGGAATCACTGGAAACTCTATGGTTTTATAGATGTTAAACCATAGTTTTTGGAGATTCCTAGAGTTACCCTTTGTTATTTCTGGTAAGAACTTATCACACTGTGGTTTTAAAATAACCCTGTAACAGGATCTGGGGGTGGGGAATTGCCCACCCCACTGGGGCCTTGGCAGACCTAGATAAAATTCACTGCTCATGGTTGCTAAAAACACATTGCTGCATGCGAGAATCAGGATCTAAGAGGAAAGGGTGCATTTTATAGGAGTGAAGGGTAAAGGGTCCTGGAAAAAGCTTGTGCTTAGGCCTCACTATGTTAGTAAACAGTTCCCGCAAGGTAGGATGCTCTCCTTTCAAATGTGACCTTAACAGCATTGTTTTTGGTCTCTTGCTCTCTCAGTGATCAATTACTGCAACTTTGGTAACCACAGTTGCCAGCATGAATGTGTTAGCATCCTGAATGGGTTCTATTGCCGCTGTCGTGATGGCTACACTCTGCAGGCAGATGGGAAGTCATGTCAGGGTAAGTGATGACTGTGGCAAAGTGACACATGCAGCGGTGACAAAGAAAAGAACAGATGGGAAAAGCAGAGTGTGAATTAAGGCCCTTACTAACAGCTATGCTTGCAAGATCAAAACAACAGTGTGCTTAAGTCACATTGTATACTAGACCCCACCTGCTTGCTCCACTCGCCAGCCTGGTAGGCTCGCTGCACTCACAGTGTTGTTTTGTAGGGGCTCTGCCTCTGCACGATCTGCAAGCTTACCCCCAAACTGGTGTTCACCATTTTTTTCTCCTACAATTAGTTTAATACAGTTCCTTCCTTTAGATCTTCCTCTGCTGCTGTTCTAAAGTTTTATTCCAGTGTGTAACACACTTAAGAAGACTTGTTAATTTGCAAATTGTCAGAAGGGGTTTTTTTTGGGGGGGGGGGTAAAGGAGGGGACACATGCCACCCTCCCTGCCTGTGCTGCCTCCACCTTCCTGGTTTCCAACATCCAGAAACACCCACCCCCTTTCTATTGCAGTTGTTATAGATTTACGTTTAAATCCCGCTTTTCTCACCAATGGAGACCAAAAGCAGCTCACAACATTCTCCAGTTCTCTATTTTGTCCTCCCAGCAGCCCTCTGAGGTAGGTTATGCTGCGAGAGAATGACTGGCCCAAGGTCAACCAGCAGTGTAGGGATTTGAATGTGGGTCCCAAGATTATCCTGAGCCTGGGGATATGGGTTATGGCTATAATGCGAGCCAGGATATTCCAGTTGTCTTTGTTTTTGGCATTGCAAGTCCCACAATCATTCTGAACCCAGTGGCCAATTTTGCAATTATTCCCTAATGAGTTATGCCTGCCACAAACAGCCCACCTTAGTTTCCATTGCCAATGGGGTGTGTGGTGGAGATAACCAGAACACGATGTTCCAATTCCCTTCATTTTTGTCACTGCAACTCCCACCATCATCTGGAAATGGGTGCCCAATTTTGAGATGCTTATCTGTATGCCTACCAAACCCAGAGAACCTCAGTTTCCATTTCAAATAGCATTAGTTGGAGATGGGAACTGCTGCTCCCATCATCACCATGAATCTCGTGGCCAGTTGTCAGATTCCAAGCTCTTATTTTCTGATGACTTATGCATGCCAGAGATGACTGTTTCCAATATAAAAAGCAATGGTTTGGCCTTTTTCAGAGGTTACACAGGCCTGGATGTTCTGATTTTGATCATGTTTGGCACTGCAACTTCCATGATCATCCTGAAGCTGGTGGCCAGTTTTGAAGCTCCTAGTTTTTAGTTCCTGGTGGATTATGTGCACCACATATAGATGGACAGATGGATCTTTTTATTGTTATAGATTTTGTGGAGTTGGGATATCCTAAAAAAGAGACAACCAATGGGATTATGATATCCTTGACTAATGGATGTATGGTCCCTCTTTGCATGTGTTTCAATATGAGGACCTCTATAGGGTTGGTGAAATTATGCTTGTGGTTTGTGTTTCAGCCAGTGACCTCTGCAATAGCATCGAGCATGGATGTGAGTTTAAATGTGTCAGTACCGCAGGCTCTTACCACTGTGTTTGCCCAGAGGGTCAGCAGCTCCAGGCTGACAAGAAGACATGTAACAGTGAGTATCAGAGGATGTGCCTGTTATGGAATGCTCTGGAACATGACTGTTCGATGAACCCAAAACTGTTGTCAGTCAAGGCATCTCATGAAGTCGTATCCACACTGGTTATTCCAAACAAACAAGTGGTAGTGATGGTCTTTAGATCCTGACCAATCACCTTTCCCAACCTATATTAAACAGGTGGACTGGCCCTGTAATTTATTGTGAAAGTTCCTGGTGAGGGCAAGCAGAACCAAGTCCCAGCACTGCTAGCTTGCTGCAAGGGCTTGGGCCCAGCCAACAGCAAGGCAATAAGTGAACCTTCACCTATCATCATCACCACTGGCTGGATCTTTGTTGAGTGACCTTTGTGGAGCTGCCATTACTACAGTGGCTATTCAGCTCCTGGGTTGTTCTGACATTCCGGTCCACCTCAGTTTTTAAACCTGAACATATATGCTGAGATTTTTTTTAAAAAAATTGTAAATAGGAAGTTTGCGATTGTTTTATAACAGTATCACACAATTGGATATGGAGAACAGGGATGTGTTACTTATTTGATAGTACTGTGATGTGGCTTCAAAGAAGACACAAAAAACATGAAGATGGGATGCCTATGGAAAGCTGTGGTAGAATAAAAGTGTCTGATGATCTCAGGTGGAGAAACATCTTTCCCAATGGGTGGTTCCTGAGATAACTGGAGATTTTGGGATTTACACATGGGACTTCCTGTATGCCAAGAAATCATACTTCATTGACACACAGCCAGTCCTTCATTTTGAGATCTGATGAAAAGCAACAATATCTGGGCATCATTTTGACCTGCTACCATCAAACATCTGGAGAAGAGGGGTGAGGATTTGGGAGAGAAATTTCAGACTTGTGGAGCAGGGATCCTCAAAGCTATGTAGCACCACTTGGGAATTTGATGGTGTTGGCCCATTCTTCATAATGCCCCTCTATGCTTATTTTTGAAGGCACCTTGAGTGCTATCTCCATTCACTGACCTCTTTTTTCTTCTTGGTTTATAGAGTGCAAAACTGGACATGTTGATTTGGTGCTGGTGATTGATGGCTCCAAGAGTGTCCGGCCTCAGAATTTTGAGCTGGTGAAGCAGTTCGTAAACCAGATTGTGGACTTCCTGGATGTGTCCCCTCATGGCACCCGGGTGGGGTTGGTCCAGTACTCCAGCCGTGTCCGCACAGAGTTCCCACTCCACCAATACATGACTGCAGAAGATGTCAAGAAGGCAGTGCAGAGAGTGCAGTACATGGAGAAGGGCACCATGACTGGGCTGGCCCTCAAACACATGTTGGAGCACAGCTTCTCTGAGGCAGAAGGGGCTAGACCTCTCTCCCAGAATGTCCCCAGGATTGGCCTGGTCTTCACTGATGGGCGCTCTCAAGATGATATCTCAGAGTGGGCCAGGAGAGCAAAGGAATCAGGTGAGGGTTCAGTAGAGAGATTGGGGTGGGGGAGTGGAGATATATGCATGCTGGGAAGCCTTATTCATAGCTCTACTGCTCTACCAGTGGCTGATATTTACCATGTTCCTTGCAAACTAGCCCAGCCCCACATGCATCTTCATAAGCAGTTAGTGGCAAAAAGGGGGGAATTAATGAACCAGCTTTTGTTAAAGCCTCCCCACTTGATTTGGAGACATTTTTTACTTGCCACAGGTGACTAGGCCAGTGGCTATTTACAAGCCTGGCATAGATGCAGATTTTTTAAAAAATAAAACTTTAACATGACTCAACAACAATATTCACGTACAGACCATTTTCTTTAACAAAGGCATAGTCATCGAGCCAGAATGAAAAGCTAATTACTTTAAATACAGCCATCAATAATCTGGTCTTTGCTTTACTGGAACTAAACTATCTGCCAATTATTGTCCATAAAAATAATTTCAGTCTTAAAACAAAACCCACCTATATTCCATCTCTTCTGTTTAGAAAGCTCAGAAGGGCTTGTATGGAATCCCCCACCCAATCTCCCTTTGAGGCATTGGCCCGGTAGATACCTGCTTCATGTAAAAAATGAGCAGGATGTTTCCGGAACATGCACTGAGGCAGTATCTACACTACGGCTTTATATTGGCAGTTTAACTGTCATGGATTCCTTCAAGAATGCTGGGAGTTGTAGATTGGTGACGGTTCTGAATATTCTCTGATAATATGCCTGTGCACCAGTTCTATTCCTCCCAACATTTCCTGTGTGTGGTTCCATCTTTTTGGGAAGTATAATCAGTGCCAGCTCACTGAAGGACAATCCAGGCCGCTTTACTGACACTAGGGTTGCCAACCTCCAGGTGAGGCCTTGATATCTCCTGGAATTACCACTGATCTACAGATGACAGAAATCAGTTCCCCTGGAGAAAATGGCAGCTTCAGAAAGTGGACTCTATGGCATTATAATCCACTGAGGTCCCCAAATCCCACCCTCCCCAGACTTCACCCACAAATCTCAAGGAATTTCCCAACTAGGTGTTGGCAGCCCTAAACTGACACTATGGAATGAATTACTGCCAGAAGAGAGAACTGCAATATCTCTAGCTGCCTCTAGATGAAGTGGTAAAACATTGCATGCAGGCAGTGTTTTAGCTGCATTTGTCTGGTGTACTTGGTCTGAGTTTGTTATATTTTAATTCTTATTGTACAATTTAGTTCGTGGATTTAATTGGTTTGTATTTTGATATACTTTGTGCACAGCTATGGACCCTGCTTGGTGGAAAAGCAGCTCATAAATATTTTAATAAATAAAATGGAGATGTCTGTCCTCCCTCTCAGAACTACAGTTCCCAAGATTCTCCTCAGAGAAGGAATGATTTAACCCTGTGCTGCAGCTATGCCTTAAACCCTCTGTAAACAAACATACAAAGAAGGATAGCATCTAGTATATCAATAGTTTTCTTCAGATAGGACATTACATGCACAGAAATCAGTGCATGTGGAGGAGGAGCATGCATGAGCATGTGGACCCCATGCCGACCTATGTGTGATCACTGGGTTGTGAGCATGCTGCATGGCGTCTGCCTGCATACAAAGTCCACACATGCTCTGGAACATTTTAAAAAGCAGAATTATCACAGGGACAGAGTGTATGTGTGTACAGTTTGCACTAGGGATTCTGTGAAATTCACAGTGAGCAGAATTTTTATCACAAGGCCAGAGTATATGCATGTATAGTTTGCACGAGGTATTATGTGAAATTCACAATGAACGGGTTTGCCAGACAAATATTCTGTGTTCACCCGCGAACCTCAGATCTGTTTGGCTTATCACCATCTGGGCTGAACCACTATTGGATGAATTTGTGACTTTGCAATAACTGTAGTGGTGGAATTTTGTTTCCTTGTGGTGGTAGAGTTTCATTTCCTTGCCTTGCAGATGATTTTGCATCTTCACAGTAGGTAAGATCAGTTCTTCTCCAGGGTCATAGATGGTTGGATTAGGAATTAAATGCCATGGGAGGGGGGACTACACTTCCCATTAGACTGTGCAAACATGTGCATGCACAAAATAACCCCGTAAACTAGCGCCAAATGGTTTTTAAACAGTGTTTATAATCATTAGCTAATTGATTTGCTCACTGTGGATTCGCGTGCAATAATAACGGATCTGTGAAGGAGGAGGAAACTAAAAATCTCATCAAGCTGTATTTGAATATCCATGAGTGAAACACTACCAGTTGCATGGCTGGAACATATGAAAAGTAACTATCAGTCTGAAACCGCTAAGTGACTGGTGAAAAATTGGCTCCCTGTTCACAATGAGTGAGCAGAACAAGAGACAGAACAGCAGGGGTTCGAGCATCCCTAATTTGTACATGCATAGATGACAGGCGCATAGCATGGAAGTTGTGCAGTAAGGAAGATCAGAGCTGGCATATTTCTGTCCACTCCCCCCGTATGCACATTGAAATCAATGAACATTATCTGAAGAAGATTAGTGTCTGCCTTTAATGATGGTGACTGTCCAGAACTTCTCCACTGTTGGCAAGTGAAGCAAAAGTTTGCTAGAGCACGCCAGCCCAATGAGCCGTCTCAGTTTTTCTGGACAGTGTCAGGAATTTGTGGCTAATTAGAGAATTCTCTGGTTTCCTCTTGTTATTGCCAGAGAGAAAATGCATAGACTCTCAGATTACATTGCCTAGAAAAAAACTGAGGCCACTATGCTGCTTTCCAGGAATGAGGATATGTGATGGTAAAAGCAGCCTTTCTGATCTCATCCCAGAAGAACAAAAGCAGCTTGGGTTTTGCAGTCAAACCTTAAACAAAAAAAGTGGGGGGTGGCTGGGGAGAAAGGTTTCATCCTTTGCCAGTGTTATGTCTGGGATCAGCTGCTTATCAGCCAAACTTGTGTTTCTCTGTTATTCAGTCATCTGGATCCAGATTTCAAGTTTGGATTTTACCTACCTATTGAGGTGTGATGTGAAAAATAGACCAAATCAAAGCGGACACTTGCTGCTTTATCCTGCATTGCCCCTTCTACGGCAATCTCATATTTTCTATCATAATCCAGTTAATTGTCTAGATTAAGGATAGACACTTGGGGGCTCAATTCAGAGACTCTGGAAGTGAACAAATATACATATCAAACCAGGCCCTCTTCAACTCCCTCACCCATGACTTTGGCCTCTTCTTGCAACACTGGCGATAGATGTATGGGCTAGCAAATTGAATTCAGTAGTCAATTTGTCCCCTACTTTTGTGTTTCATGCAGGCAGTCCAACTTTATCAGGTTTTAAAATACATATTTAATCAATGTTTGAGTCCAATGGCACCTTTAAGACCAACAAAGTTTTATTTAAGGTATAAACTTTCGTGTGCATGCACACTTCTTTAGATACACTGAAATGGAAGTTACCAGTCAATACACATAGATAGAGGGTGAGTAGCAAATGAGTGTACAATATAATGAAGATGTTTAACAGATTCAAGGACCCAACAGGAATAACAAGCTTAGTTTATATGGTTACTTTTTGTTTGGGTTTAATTCTGGGAAAAACATAGTAAAGGAAATAAATGTATCAAAATTGGAGATTGATGGGCAGATGTACTCTTCTTAAGCTTGGTTCAGGTGGGTAGACGTGTTGGTCTGAAGGAGCAAAACTGTAATACTGTACGCACTTTATTGTTAATTGTAACTTATGTTTTAAAGTAATTGTTTATGAGATTTTATAGAGCTTTTAAGCTTTATGTATGTCAACCAGGTACATTGCACCATTCTGTTAGCCGCCCTGAGCCTGCTTGCGGGATGGGCGGGGTATAAATATAATAAATAAATAAATAAATAAATAAAACGAAGTTTGAGTCCAGTGGCACCTTTAAGACCAGAAAAATCTTATTCAAGGTATGAGCTTTCGTGTGCTTGCACACATCTTCAGAAGAAGTGGGGTGCGTGCACACAAAAGCTTTATACCTTGAATAAAACTTTGCTGGTCTTAAAGGTGCCACTGGACTCAAACTTTGTTCTTAAGCTTGTTATTCCTGTTTGGTCCTTGAAACTGTTAAACATCTTCACTTTGTTGTATGTTAATTTGCTGCTCACCCTCTACCCTGTATGTATGAACTGGTAACTTCAATTTCAATGTATCTGAAGAAGTGTTCATGCACATGAAAGCTTATATCTTAGATAAAACTTTGTTGTTCTTAAAGGTGCCACTGGAGTCAAACTTTATTCTGCTGCTTCAGACCAACACGACTATCCACCTGAATCTATACACCATTGTATCTTCCCCACTTTAAAAAAAAATATATATATTTTTAAAAAATTGGGGGGAAAATGTTGCAGGCAATCAGCACTGTGCTCAGTCAGAACTGGTTTCCCCTGACCTTTGTCCTGCGAAGAAGTTATACATATGAAAGTGACTGAGTGTACTTCCGTAGCAGCTTGACTGCTGAACTGTATAGCTAGATATCCTTTTTTGAGAGAGTAGTAACTCTCTCAAACGCATCCATATGTCCTTTCCTATACATATTGAGGGTGGAGGTAAAGATAATTGGTCATGGCAGAGCCTGTGGTGTTGGCTCTTTTGTTCTTATTTGAATCAGAATTTGGCTTCTGTTAATTATTAAGAGCTTAGATGTTCCAAATCGGGATGGATTCTCCAGAGCTCAGTGACTCTGCTGTGGCAAAATTTTGTTGCTTAGCTACTAGGAAATGTAAACTTATTTTAGTGGAAAAAATTGTATGATTCTCTTATTAACATTATTTTATGTTATTAATTTTATTAACTTTCTCTTGTTTATGTTTTTATACTATTCCCATGTTGTTACTGTTTTTAATAACTCCAATTCTATTAAATTTTCCAGGCAGAACTGATGAATTTAATATCTCCCTCCCCCCCTTTCATATTGTTCTAACAAAATTACCTCTAAGGTGGCCAAATTTTGCCCCTTGGCAAGATCAACAAGGAAGCAGCTGGTCAAGTCTTCCTATTAATTGTCTCTACGATTGAAATCAGCCTGCCATGCTGCCTGGAAATTTTATTGCTTGCAAATGTGCTGATAACTATGAGTGTCAATCGTGACTGATCTATGATTGTAACTAATTAAGAACTAAGAACTGCCTATATTTCAAGTTTTGCTGCCAGGATCATCCTCCACTGTGTATGAATGCCATTCCAGAACACTGGAGTGTTACTGAAGTCCAAACAACATTGCTGGCCAGATGCCCATCCAGTATAGATGTAAATTTTGGTTCATGGTGTCTTGATTGGCTCTGCAGGAATTGTAATGTTTGCAGTTGGTGTTGGCAAAGCTGTTGAGAGCGAACTGAGAGAAATTGCTTCTGAGCCAGTGGATCAGCACTTCTCCTATTCGGCAGATTTCAACACCATGACTCACATTGTTGACAATCTCAAGCTCAACATTTGTCCCGGTAAGTTATTGGTGGGTTCCAGACTGTATATTTCAAAGATACGGACAATGTGTTCTATCATATGCCATCATGTGTAGGTTGTTCAGTCTGTTCCCCATGTGTAATATGAATGTAACAGGACATATCTGATGAGAGGGCAATGACAGATGTGTTCAAATCTGGAGCAGATCTACATACAAACACATTTGGGTGAGTGTGTTCCAGAAAACATCTGGCATGCTAACCCCAGAGTTAAAGTGGCTTGGAGTTAAAGTGCCCTGGCTTTCATGGAGAGTTAGGTCTTATAGAAAAATTACTCATAATCCTTTCATGCGCCTTACAGCTGTGCTATGATTTAGGTTCTCATTTCCTGTAGCGATGGCTCCTGTGAATTCTTCTGTGGAGAACAGTTGTTTATTTACTACTTTAAACCTGTTTTTCAGCTAAAGTTGAATTTCAGAGAGGCTCACTGATATTAAACAAAATTAAAGCCATTAAAATCAATATAAATATTATCTGGGGAGGGGACTCTCTGCTGAGCTGAATTCCAGCATTATACTTCATGTTCTTCCTCTGATGGCTTCTTCAGTGGAAGCAGGTGTGCTCACAACTGGAGCTAGTTCTAGGCACCATGGAGGGTGCATGGCTATTTCCTGGAGAAGTTGCTCAAGTCTTGGCAAGCACTGAACTAAACTAGTGAATTTTCAGTTGCATTGACTTATTTCAGTGGGCCCACAAGATCTCTGAGTTTCATCTATTACTGTCACAGAGAACATTGCACATCTACAATGTCCCATTTAATGTTTGAGGCAAGCAAAGAATTCTTTTGCTTATTTCTCTCAGGGTATAATTGTACTCCCTGGGCCTCTTTTCCCTCATGGAGAGCTAACTACCTTCCAATATAAGTTGGTCTTGGATTAGCTGACTATTTCTAGGCACTGCACAGAGGTGAACATCAAAGAAAAGATTGCCTCACATCAAGTTTGAGTAGGTTCTCCATGGAGTCAAGGGCCTCTAATGTGGGTGGGAATCGATGGTGGGTCATTGCTAATGTTTCTAATGGATTTTTGTGATATTTCAGAGGAGGGCAAAGGGGAAACTGAGTTCCGTAACCCATGTGAATGTGAGGCCCTTGTGCAGTTCCAGTCAAACACTCTTGCAATCTTGGAAGACCTCACTGAAAAACATATCCTTTTTGATGTAACCTGCATAAGGCAATGGGATACAGGAGTCAGGCTAAACAGGCATGTTGCTATTATTCATATTTCTTTGGATTTGGGTGGTTTTATTTGGAGAAGTCTGTGATAATATTGTGGGGTATTATGGGGCATATTTTCACAATGGATTGAACATACAAAAGTCAGACATGTGGTGAACTGTTCAGAATCAGACAATTAGCAGTGTACAAAGCTTGTGCTGAGTTGCATCCAAGCAAAGACAACAGCCTTCCTTACTAGATGAGATTGCAAGATTTCCAGATGGGGCCCAGCCAGTCTGGAGTGCAGAAGTAGTGTTATAACTGGTCCCTGAACTGCTTGACCTGCTGGGATTCAGTCCCTCCCTCAACTGAAGAAGTCAGCTGTGACTACCTTCAGTTACCTGCTCCTCAGTAAATACTTTGCCATGCTCACTTTCACTGTAAGTAATGGGGATTTTATTAAACCAGATGTTTACCTGAAAACAAGTCCCCATTCTTTCAGTGAAAACTGCCCTCTTACAACTCTTCTCAGTGCCACAAAGAACATTAATCTTTCTGGACCAGATCAGTGGTCCATCTTGTCCAGCATCATGTTTCACACAACCACAAGACCCCCAAAGGTCTACAAGTAGGGCACAGATATCTCTTCCTTTTGTTGCTTCCCAGAACTGGTATTCATTGACTTTCTGCATCAGAACATGGAAGCTCCCTTCAGTCAATAGAGCTGGTAGCCATTGATGGAACTTTCTTCTATGAATTTGTCTTAACTCCCTTCTAAAGCTGACTAAATGAATGTCCATTTTTACATCCTGTGTCAGTGAATTCCACAAATTAATTAGAAGTACTACCTTTTTGTCTGTCTTGAATCCACTGCCCACCAGTTTCACTGGGTACCTGCTACTATTATGACAAAAGAGGAAAAAGTTCTCTCTGTTGGCTTTCTCCACTTAATAATTTTTGTGATATTTCAGAGGAGGGCAAAGGGGAAACTGAGTTCCGTAACCCATGTGAATGTGAGGCCCTTGTGCAGTTCCAGTCAAACACACTTGCAATCTTGGAAGACCTCACTCAGCAGTGTGTTCCAACAAAAATAAAGAGGAGTACTGGGGGCACCTTAAAGGGGTAAGTCAGGAATAAAACATAGCAATTGGTCCCACAATAAAGTTCAAGTCCAGTGGCACCTTTAAGACCAACACATTTTTATTCAAGGTATAAGCTCTCATGTGCACGCACACTTCTTCAGATGCATTGAAATTGGTCTCAAAGGAAGGATCATTAAAAAATCAAGGTTCCACAGAAAGTAAAAGCCCCCTGTAGTCGTTGTTCTATTTTAATCTGGCCTTAGCCTTTAAATGCCCACTATGTGGGAGAAAACAAATTGCTCCCAAAAGATGCAGTGGTTCTGTCAAACTTAAGCTATGTTGGTTCCTCCCCTTTGGAAAGGAGCTGGTGTTGTTATGGGGAGTGGGTTTTCTTTCTCCAAAATTCACTTTTTTAGATATAGCCATTGAGTACCCTTACTCTCCTTTTCTCTTTCAAAAGAGGAATTTTTCTTTCATTTCTCTGTAGTTTTCTGTTACTCCACATCTGTGCCCTTTTGTATATTTAGTTCTTGCAGGGTTGTTTTTTTATGTTACACACTACAGGGTGGTGCTCTATCAGGAGAGAAAGGTTTGGGAAGACACTGCCTGCCTATGAGTATCTGCAGAGTGAAATTATGAAGAGCCTCCCTTCTTGCCCCTCCTTGAATTTCTCTTGATAAAAAAGGAATTGATTCAGAACAGACTCCAATTCCTAAAAAGAAGGAAGGTATTGTTGGATTTCATGGAGAAACTGAGTAAAGAGGAATTAAGAGAATTTCTCTTAGCTGCACTATAAGAAGAACAAAATTTGAGTCCAGTGGCACCATTAAGACCAACAAAATGTCAGTCTTAAAGGTGCCACTGGACTCTTCTGTTCTGCTGCTTCAGACCAACATGGCTACCCACCTGCACTATAAGGAGTTATGCTGAAATAGCTCCCTTTTGGTAAATGTAATGCACGGAGGGGCCCTAATTGGTAATTTTGAAGAAATCTTCAGTGGGTCCCAGTGGAGGCATCATAAAAGGATCAACATTCCACAGCAAGCAGAAGGCCCCTCCAGACAAAGGGGAAATGGCGATCATTCAGTGCTTGTGAATCATCCAAGTGTCTCTTTTCCCATATTCCATTCTGTTTGCATTGTACAGCTGTGGCCTTCACTTCCCTTTTTATGTCCAGTAAACGTTTTGTTTGATCATGCTGACTTCCTTAATGCAACTACTCTCTCAGATGACTACCAGACTTGAGCAGCTGGAAAACCAGATTGCTGGCAAAAAGTGATTACCACGAGCAGCCTCCCAAGAGTCGGAGCTCAGACGCATCCTCTAGCTCATCACTGACATTCCTAGACCTGTTGTAAATGGCTGACTGTTCTTGTATCACAGGATCCTGAGGGGAGGGAGGGGAAACCTCTCCTTTCTTCCTGGGCTGGAAAACAGAACAACACTTCATGATGGAATAATATTTTTCTTTGCCCAAAACGGGCAATAGGGCTGAGCCATGGGTTCAGCCCAAACAAGTGGACATTTTAGGGAATCAACATGAAGTGGGGCCTGCATCATCCTCAAGAGCTACTGGGATTGGTTGACATTAATGGAATCTGCCCTGGGGCTTCACGACAATCCCAGGAACACCAGAGCACAAAATGCCTTGCTAGAAAAGAGAGTCCCTTGCTATTAAGGTCTGTTTAGGCCCGCAAGCTTTTCATGTTCTTAAGCAGAAGAGCAGTACTTCTGTCTCCCTTGTATCCTTCACTGTGAATGGCAGTGCCTGCAGCATTTGTAACTACAGATTTTTGCTTCAGTTGCACACAAATTCAGTATCTGGTTTTTAAATGAAAATATAATTTAAAAAAAATGTATCTAGAATAAGATGCTCCCCCACCTCCCCTCAAAAACTGCAGAATTTCTGATTGGAACCATTCTTCCTGCCACCAGCCTGACTTTGACAGTATTGATGGAGAATTTGTCATTTATTCTGTTATTTTTATCAAATAGTTTTTTAAAAGAAAAATTCTATATATGTGTGTTTGTATATATCTTTCTTTCTGAAAGCAGGGCAGTCGTATTTTTTAAACAAGTGTCTTTTTATTGTATGTAAATTTTTATCTCAAATAAACTTGCTGAAGATTTCTAAAACATGTTTCTTTCCAGTGGAACCTTGAAAATGACATTGATTTATTTTTATTTATTTATTTACATTATTTATAGTCTGCCATTCTCACCAAGACACAAGGCAGGTCACACGGTCTAAGCCAATACGATCAACAGGCTGGGACGTCCAGGGGTTCCCAACCTTTCAAGGCTGTTGGGTGCATTTGGAATTCTGACACAGGGTGGTGGGGACAACTAGAAAATGGCTGTCACAGGAGAAGGATCCAGGCACAAAATGGCTGCCACATGAGGTAGAGCCACACACAGAGGAAGCCTGCATGCTGAGAAGAGGGGTCATTAAAAAAAATACACTGGGAGAACGGAGTGAGAGAATAAAACCAGAACTGTAGTGGCAGCTGCTGCTGAAATGTTATTTTCATCTGCCTAGCCAATCAGAAGCCCTGCTGGTCAAGTGCTTCACTTGCCTCAACCCACTTTCTAAAAACACTTGGTGGGCTAAAAACATTTGTCAAACACTCCTTTTGCACTGAAGACAGATTTCTCTCCTGAGGGATGAGTTCCCTGCTCAGATACACTATGGGATGTTTGGTTCCCTCCCACTCTTGCATCCGAATGGCCCTGATTCCATAGTCCGAGGCACTGGTTGTGACAAAGAACCACTTTTCAAAGACAGGAACTTTGAGGTCGGGGCAGGGAAACCAAAGCCCTCTTTAACTGTTCAAAAGTATCCTGACAGGCAGGGGTCCAAGCAACCTTGTCTGGCAGGGATTTCTTGGTGAGTGAGGAGAGGGGGTCTGCTATAACCCCAAAGTCTGGGACAAACCATCTGTAGTAGTTGACCAAGTCCAGGAAAGCCCTGACCTGCCTTTTGGTGTTCAGGGGCTCTCAGTTTTGGATGGCCCTCTACATTGTCCTACATTGGTGTGATATCCCCACTCCCCACTCTGTGTCCCAAGTAAACCACATTTGGCATTTCAAATTGACATTTGTTCAGTGGTTGGGTTTTTTTGCCCCCCGGAGGGGATTTTTTAATTGCATTTTTATAAAGACTACAAACTACAACAGAATAGGGAAGGGGACTACATTAAGGGATAAAGAAAAGATACCTACTACTATCTAAAAACCCAAGAGAAGAGATCAATCACGCTAATCCCATTATGAACTGATTCAACTATTTGTTCAGTTTGATGGTGAGACCCACTCCCTGGATGGTACCCAGCACCCTTGCTAAATGCTCCAAGTGCTAATCCAGGTCCTTGCTAAAAATTGCAATGTCATCAACGTAAGCCACTGAAAACTCTGACATGCCACTCAACAAGTTATTTACTAACCTCTGAAAGTACATAGGTGCATTTCTAAGCCCAAAGGGCAGCACCATAAACTCATATAGTCCATTTGGAGTAATAAAGGTAGACTTAGCTCTTGCTTCGGGCTCTAATTCCATCTGCCAATAACTCTTACAAAGGTCCATTGTGGATATCACCCTGGCAGATTCCAGTGTGTCCAACAAAGTGTCTGTCCTGGGCACAGGATAAGCATCTGGTTTTGTTGGGTTTTCTGTAGTCCACACAAAACCTAATCAAGCCATCTGGTTTGACCACTAGGACAACAGGAACCACCTATGGGCTCAGTGAAGGATGGATCACTCTCAGCCTCAACATATCTTCCACCTCCCTTCCTTATAACATCTGTCAACACTTTGCCATTTACTCGGTAAAGAGGGCACCGGATAGGCTCATGAGATCCAGTGATCATTCTGTGTCTAGCCAAGTCTGCTCTCCCTGGTTCCATTCAAAATAATATCCTCAAACTGATGTAAAACTGAAAGGATTTTCTCTCTGTCCTGCAATGACATACTTGCTGGCCACACCAGCTTCTCCCACTGAGCTGGTTCAGAAAAGTGAGCCAAAACATACACTAGGTTGTCATCCACCTAGGTGGGCAGGGTGACACAGGGCCTGCAGGCCAGAGCGAGCTCATTCCACCACACCATCTCACTGCCAGTAAATCCCCCCCTTCACCCCGGTTGCTAGGGTTACCTGACAACCCTATCAGGGAGGGCAGGGTTTGGGAAGGACAGGGAGCTCAGTGGGGTAAAATTCCATGGAGTCCACCCTCCAAAGCAGCCATTATTTTAGGGGAGCTGAATTCTGTTATTTGGAGAATAGTTGTAATTCTGGGAGATCTCCAGGCCCCATCCAGGTCTGCTACCTCTGAATACGGAGGTTCCCTTTAGTCATCAAGGCTGGCATCTAGGGCTGCCATGTTCCCAGTCGGGGTGGGGAACCGCAAGCACAATGGTGTTACTTCTGGGTACAATCTGGAAGCAACAACAGTAGCTCTAGGAATCACCAGAAAGACTATGGTAAACCCATAGGGTTTCCAGTGATTCCTAGAGATTCCAGAAGTGTCATCATCATGCTTACAATGCTGTCCCTCACACCATTTCCCCATACCCCCACTCTCCTGCCAGTTGCCAGGATGATCCTATCCTCAATGAAACCCCTTCTAAAATTGTAGCCACCTATGCTTGTGGTCATTGCTATGTCCACTGGCAGTGAATTCCGGTTCCACAATTCAATTACTCATTAAGTAAAGAACTGTTTAGTTTTGTCTGCTCTGAATGTATTGCCCATACATTTCATTGGATGGCCCTCAGTTCTGTTATTGTAAGAAAGAGAGAAAAAGTTCTCTCTGTTTCCTGCACTCCATGGATAATTTTATAAATCTCTTGTCATGTTAACCCTCAGTCATCTTTTTTCTTAACTGAAAAGTCTTAAGACTCTTCAGCTTTTCCTCATGGGAAAGTTTCTCTAACCTCTTAATCATCTTCTGCTCCTTGTGTGACAAAAGTCTATTAAATCTGTACAAGTGGTGGTATGCATAGCCTTTACAAGCCTTTATGAGCGTCAGGTTCATGTCAATGGCATGCAGGGGTAGTGAGAAGGTGTAGTCAGATTACGATTACAGTTAAGCAGTGCTGGAACTGCCCTGCTCCTATTCAGGGAAAGAAACTCCTGCTTAAGAGTTGCTCCACCAGATGGACCACAAATAAGTGGGACATAATGACAGAACAATGAGTTTTAAAGTTCTGAGAGCTAATTGAGTACATCTGAAGTGCCAAGTACCTCCTTTTCCTCCCCTCCTATCATTACCCCCTGAAGACTTAAAACCCAGCCTGTCTTGCTATACAAGCCCAGACTTTGACAACACCATGAAGACATACAGCATCTCCCTCTGTTTGGCTGTCCTTGCTGTTTGGGCAGAATTTCCCTCTGCAGCCAGACAGGATGGCAATTGTGAGTAAAGAGTGAAAGAAAATTCTTAAGGGATGCAGAACATGAATGTCTGCCATATATGAAGGCAGTTTTTCAGATTCATTCTGTTCCCTAAAGCCTGAATCTTGTAGTTCGTGGAAATTACTTAAGCAAAACCAAAAGCAAGATCTTTGGATCTCATCGACACAGGGAGGAATGATGAGTTGCTAAGTGATGAGGCTTTCTACCTTGACCCTTGGGAAACATACTCAAGAAATCCCATGGCTTTTGCTCACCAGGATTTGAGCCTTGTTGCACCCCCATCAGGATTATAAATAACTTTAAGAAGCAAGCAAGTTTAGGCACTCAAAATCTGAAAGATTAGCGTTTGTATCCTATGTGGTATTTTTTGTAGATTCATGGATCCACTTGGTACTTCCACAGTCACTTGGATCCACTGGTGACTTCCACAGCAGGGAGGGATTACTACCCACAGAGCAGGATTTCCCAGCCTCCTCCCTCCCATTGCAGCCCAAAACGCCCTTCTCAAATGCAGCCCTTGGGGGAGGGGACCCTTAGTAACAGCTTGGGAGAAGGGGAGTCAGAAGTCTCCCGTAGCACAGGGGAAGCAACAAAAACCACCTCCTCCATCTCATCATGGAAAGCCCTCTACTGGGTCTGGCCCTGTGTATATCTTGCTTTATTCTTTGGCCTATTATGCATGGGTGTTTTGCTTTGCTTTCGCCATGCATGTCCGTCCGTTGGGTTTTCTTTTTCATTCTGCATTGTTCCTCCCTTCAGCACTCAGTTTGCTTTCCATTCGCTGTTTCCCCAGGTTTTCTGAGAGTGCCTTTGTGTCAGTTTTTCCTTTCCTTTGCTTTCAAGCCAAAGGTAATTCAAAAGCATACAGATTCCCTCAGATTTTTCTCCCTGCCCTTTCCCCACCGCTCGTAGGCCACTCCCACATCAACATCCAGGTCATTCCGCCAACTCTGTACCTTCTGCCATTTTTTTTTTTTACAAGTGGCATGAGTTTTGCGATATGAGACTATCACTAGTCTCAGACTGCTGTAAAAACGGCTGGGCTGCCCTCTTGGGTGGTGGGAGGGGGCAGCGCAGAGCTGTGTGTGCGGGGAGCTATTGGCTCCCCGCGTGCAAAGCAAGCCCGGTTGGGCTATCTTTTGCCTCCTTCATAGTCAGCTCTAAACAAGATTTAAATGCAGGGAAAGCATGGTGTTTTAAAGAGCATTTCTCCTTATTGTTTTCAGTAACTACAACACTACAATTGGTCAGTCTTGTATAAACAGTTTGGTTATTTTTAACCCCAAAGGGAGGCTCTGTGCATTTGGCCTGTAGTATTTCCTAGCATGTAGCCCCATTTCATTGCTCATCACACAGTCACAAATACAGATTTTCCACAGAAATAATTTGTGGCACAATATACAGGGGTGATGGTGGTGGAAATCCTTGCACAAACAGTGAGCCCAGCTGGGCTGCCCTCTCCTTACTGTCCCTTATTGTCCCTAAAAGAAAAGTGCACACACACACACATTGCCAATGATCACAGCTTGCAATGCCAGTGTCAGTCGTTCTGCCGTGCATTCTGTACACTCTAACATGTTCCCCCATATTATGAGATGGTGCAACTCTTTAATCTTTTTCACAGTGGCCAATAACACACCAGA